TTCCCCCCCCCCACTGTTTGTGTGTATGTTTGGTATTAATGTATGAAAGAATGATAAGGGCACTGACTTAAGAATGAGGTCAGTAAGCTAGGAAAGGAGAAGGAATTTATTGGAAATTCATGATATCCTCAGTTGATTCATCGTCAATTCCTTCGAGTTCAATAATTGTGTGTGTGTCCGCTTTCTGAAGATAGGATACGGCGGATTCTAGTGTGCTTTTCCTGTAGGGTGTTTAGGGATTGGGTACTATTATATAGGGGTAGGGATTAGGTTAGGTGTATGGAGCTAGGAATTATGGGCTTGGAATTATGGGCTAGGTCCAAAATTAGGCCTAAAGATGTGTTGCTCGAGCCCAAGTTTTATTCTTTCCCCGAGAACGAGATTAAAATACAACCATATTTATTAATTAGTCCTACTTAAATAAAATAACTGTTAAAATAAGACTGGCCATTAAAACAAACTATTTTTTTTGTATTTTCAAGGTTAAAAATGACTAACAAAACATTAATGGAACAATTTTTGTAATTTTCATTTTTCTTGTAGTAAAATAAAGTAAAAGAGAAAAATTAGTTGAAATAGCTATATTAGGCCTAAATTAAATATTTACGTGCTAAAATATAAAAAATCTTTGGGAGGGTCAAAAATCACATGTCTACAGACATCGCCCGCGAGATTGAGTCAGTTCGTCGCTAGGCGCGAGAGGAGAGGGAGGCCAAGAGGCCTCGGGGATCTGGTAGCTTTGGTAGTTCTCCTTCAAGTGGTCAGTTTCAGCAGGGCAGAGGTCGTCCATTCAGGCAAGCTCAGTCAACTCGCCCAGGTTATTGTGGGGCATCATCGGGTCATGGTTCTCACAGTTCTCATCAGGGTCATTCATCACTTAGTGCCTTTCTAGCCCAGAGTTCATCTCGTTCTCCATCAGTTCAGGGTTCTTCCATGCCAGGTCCTTCTACTGGTCATTCCGGTGCCAGGGGTTCCCTTCAGTCCCCATCTCCAACCCTAGGGAGTTGTTATGAGTGTGGAGAGTTTGGACATATGAGGAGGCAGTGTCCTCGTCTTCTTGAGGGTCTGTCTCAGCAGAGGGGTCAACCCTCGCCTTTAGCTTTAGTTACCTTACCACCCACTCGGGCAGCTAAGGGTGGGGGTCAGTCAGCTAGGGGTTCCCTCAGAGGGGGAAGTCGATCAGGTGGTGGTCAGGCTCATTTCTATGTCCTCCTAGGTAGACCAGATGTTGTTGCTTCAGAGGCTATGATTACAGGTATTGTCTCATTCTGCCACAGAGATGTTTTTGTATTATTTGATCCCGGTTCCACCTTTTCTTATGTGTCATCATACTTTGTCCGTTATTTGGATACGCTTCGTAAGTCTCTTGTTTCACCTGGTCATGTATCTACTCCGGTGGGCGATATTGTTGTTGTAGACCGCATGTATCGGTCGAGTGTTGTGACTATTGGGGGTCTAGAGACCCGAGTGTATCTGTTGTTATTATGTATGGTAGACTTTAATATTATATTGGGCATGGATTGGCTAATCTCTGTGTCATGCTATCTTGGACTGTCATGCTAAAATAGTGACATTAGCTATACCAGGTGTGCCACAGATCAAGTGACGAGGTTTGACTAATTATGTTCCCAGTAGGGTAATCTCATTCTTGAAGGCCCAACATATGGTTGGGAAGGGTTGCCTCTCGTATCTAGCCTTTGTGAGGGATGTCGGTGCAGAGACTCCCAGTATTGATTCTATTCTAGTTGTGAGGGATTTCCCTGATGTGTTTCCTGCAGACTTGCCGGGTATGCCACTTGACAAGGATATTGATTTTGGTATTGACCTGGTGCCGGGCACTCAGCCCATTTCTATTCCGCAGTATCGTATGGCACCAGCGGAGTTGAAGGAGTTAAAGGAGCAGCTTCAGTAACTCCTTGATAAGGGGTTCATTCGGCCTAGTGTGTCGCCCTGGAGTGCGCCGGTCCTATTTGTGAAGAAGAAGGATTGCTCTATGAGGATCTGCATTGATTATAGGCAGTTGAACAAAGTAACAGTTAAGAACAAGTATTCTTTTCCTCGTATTGATGATTTATTCTACCAACTTCCGGGAGAGAGAGTGTTCTCCAAGATTGATCTCCGTTTAGGTTATTACCAGTGGAAGATCAGGGACTCGGATATTCTTAAGACGGCTTTCAGGACCCGATATGGTCATTATTTGTTCTTGGTGATGTTTTTTGGGTTGACCAATGCCCCAGCAATATTCATGCATTTGATAAACAGCGTGCTTCGGCCTTATCTCGACTCATTTGTTATAGTTTTCATTGATGATATTTTGGTGTACTCACGTAGTCAGGAGGAGCACGCGGAGAATTTGAGAGTTGTGTTGCAGAGGTTGAGGGAGGATAAGCTTTATGCAAAGTTCTCCAAGTGTGAGTTTAGACTCAGTTCAGTGGCATTCTTGGGGCACGTGGTATCCAGTGAGGGTATTCAAGTTGATCCAAAGAAGATAGAGGCCATCAAGAGTTGGCCCAGACCGTCCTCAGCCACTAAGATTCGCAGCTTTCTTAGGTTATCGGGGTATTATTGTCGGTTTGTTCAAGGATTCTCATCTATCGCATCACCCTTGACCAAGTTGACTCAGAAGGGTGCTTTATTCAGATGGTCGGATGAGTACGAGGAGAGGTTTCAGAAGCTCAAGACTGCTTTGACCACGACTCCAGTGTTAGTGTTACCATCAGCTTCAGTTTCATATATCGTGTATTGTGATGCTTCAAGAGTTGGTATTGGATGTGTGTTGATATAGGAGGGTAGAGTTATCGCTTATGCTTCTCGTCAGTTGAAGCCCTACTACCCTATTCATGATTTGGAGTTGGTTGTCATTGTCCACGAATTGAAAATTTGGAGGCATTATTTGTATAGTTTGTCTTGTGAGGTGTTTTCTGATCATCGTAGCCTCCAGCACTTATTCAAGCATAAGGATCTCAATTTGAGGTAGCGAAGATGGTTGGAGTTTCTAAACGATTATGATATTACTATTTTGTACCATCCGGGGAAGACCAATGTGGTGGCCAATGCTTTTAGCTGAAAGACAGCGAGTATGGGGAGTTTGGCATATATTCTAGTCAGAGAGAGACCTCTTGCAGTTGATGTTCAAGCTTTGGCCAATCGGTTTGTGAGGTTAGATATTTCGGAGCCCAGTCAAGTGTTGGCTTGTGTGGTTTCTCGGTCTTCCTTATATGATCGCATCAAAGAGCGCTAGTATGGTGACCCTCATTTGCTTGTCCTTAAGGACAGAGTTCAGCATGATGATACCAGAGATGTGACCGTTGGTGATGATGGGGTGTTGAGGATGCATGGTCGTATATGTGTGCCCTATGTGGATTGGCCTTCGGGAGTTGATTCTGGAAGAGGCCCATAGCTCGCGGTATTCCATTCATTCGGGTGTCGCGAAGATGTATCAGGATCTGAGACAACATTATTGGTAGAGGAGAATGAAGAAAGATATTGTGGGATTTGTAGCTCAGTGTCTCAATTGTCAACAGGTGAAATATGAGCACTAGAGACTGGGTGGCTTGCTTCAGCAGATGGATATTCCAGAGTGGAAGTGGGAGCGGATCACCATGGACTTTGTAGTTGGGCTCCCATGGACTTTGAGGAAGTTCGATGCTATTTGTGTGGTTGTGGATCGGCTGACCAAGTCCGCGCACTTCATTCCTGTGTGTACTACCTATTCTTCCGAGCGGTTGGAAGAGATCTATATCCATGAGATTGTCCGTTTGTATGGTGCCCTAATTTCCATCATTTCAGATAGGGGCACTCAGTTTACTTCGCAGTTTTGGAGGTCTGTGCAGCGAGAGTTAGGTACTCAGGTTGAGTTGAGCATAGCTTTTCACCCTTAGACGGACAGGCAGTCCGAGTGCACTATTTAGATATTGGAGGACATGTTGCGTGCTTGTGTCATTGATTTCGAAGGGTCATGGGATCAGTTTCTACCGCTTGCAAAGTTTGCTTATAACAACATCTACCAGTCGAGTATTCAGATGGCTCCGTATGAGGCTTTGTATGGGAGGTGGTGTAGATCTCTAGTTGGTTGGTACGAGCCGGGTGAGGCTAGGCTATTGGGGACAGACTTGGTGCAGGATGCTTTAGAGAAGGTGAAGGTGATTCAGGAGAAGCTTAGTACAACGCAGTCGAGACAAAAGAGTTATACTGATAGGAAGGTTCGGGATGTGTCCTATATGGTTGGTGAGAATGTTATGTTGAAGGTTTCACCGATGAAGGGTGTTATGAGATTTGGGAAGAAAGGAAAATTGAGTCCTCAGTTCATTGGGCCTTTTGAGGTGCTTTGGAGGATTGGGGAGGTGGCTTATAAGCTTGCTTTGCCACCCAGCTTGTCGAGTGTGCGTCCGGTATTTCATGTTTCTATGCTCCGAAAGTATATTGGAGATCCGTCTCATGTTCTGGACTTCAGCTTGGTCCAGTTAGATGATGATTTGACTTATGATGTGGAGCCAGTGGCTATTTTGAAGCGTCAGGTTCGAAAGTTTAGGTCAAAGGATATAGCTTCAGTGAAAGTATAGTGGAGAGGCCAGCCCATGGAGGAGGCTACCTGGGCGACCGAGCGAGAGATGTGGAGCAAATATCCTCACCTATTTGAGGCTTCAGGTATGTTTCTTGACTCGTTCGAGGACAGACGTTTGTTTAAGAAAGGGAGGATGTGATGAACTGGCTAGTCGTCTCATGAGTTACTGCTCTGTTTCCCCTATTTCTGCTTCTTATTGCTTTTTTCACTTGTATTTCATGTCATCGGGTTGATCGGTTTGGGTTCGGAGAGGTTTTGGCAAGGTTTGAGACACTTAGTCTAGTTTGAGGAAGCTTAAGTTGGAAAAGTCAACCGGATGTTGACTTATGTGTTAGAAGGCTCGGATGTGAGTTCCGATGATTCG